AGGAGCAGCCACAGTAGATCTGGGAGTATCTCGAAAAGTCGCTCCAGATCCAGGTCATGGAGCAAAGGTCAATCACATTCTTGATCAAAAGGCAGGAAATGTAGGTCAAAGAGTAAGTCTAAGCCCAAGTCTGATCAGGACTCCCGGTCTCATTCCTGAAGCAGATCTAAGGAGTATGAGAAATCTTAAAGCAGGTCTTGGTCATGGTCTCGATCCCCCAAAGAAAATGCAAAAGGTGATATAAAGTCAAAATCCAGATCAAGGAGCCAGTCTTGTCTCAATTCACCCCCACAAAGGCTCATTCTGTGTCCCCTCCACCAAAAAGAGCTACTTCCAGATCCCGTTCTAGATCTTGCTCAAAGTCAAGATCAAGGTCCAGATTGAGTTCCAGAGATTAACCCAGAACTCTACACTCTTTGCACACTATTACACAGCACTTCCTGCTTGCTTAGGCAGTTACTTTTCCATGTTTGTACTTGGCCTCTTCTGCAAGAAGAATGCCCTGAAAACAGGGGCACACAGAAATTTGATTTGTGGCCAAATCTGATTAAAAAGATAAAGTTCCAAGGAAATGGTGGCATGAAGTCAAAGACCCTCTCCCTTCTTTGTAGAATTAAGATAACTTTGATTTTATAGCTTTTGAGCTAAAATAACTTTTGTAAAGATTAAGCTCATTTAGATTTTTTTTTTTTTTTGAGACAGAATCTGGCTCTGTTGCCTGGGCTAGAGTGAGTGCCGTGGCGTCAGCCTAGCTCACAGCAACCTCAAACTCTTGGGCTCAAGCGATCCTCCTGCCTCAGCCTCCCGAGTAGCTGGGACTACAGGCATGAGCCACCATGCCTGGCTAATTTATTCTATAGATTTTTAGCTGTCCAATTAATTTCTTTCTATTTTTAGTAGAGACGGGGTCTTGCTCTTGCTCAGGCTGGTCTCGAACTCCTGACCTTGAGCTATCCACCCGCCTCGGCCTCCGAGAGTCATTTAGATTTTTTAAAAAGTATTTCAGCAGGATCTGCTGCAGGGGGGGTTTGTTTTATTTATTTGCTTAGTTTTAAATTAACCGCTTCAAGCTTTGAATACTTAAGGCTTTAAAGGGAGAAGCCAATTTTCAATTATGTTGAGTTTTTATAAAGCTTGAGTTATGTAAGATTTAAATAAAAGTTTGCTACCAAGATGATCGCCTTATTTGAATAGGTCACTATTGAATTCTTTTAAATGTTGGAGAAAAAAAACCAAAACTGTGAGAGATAAATTTCTGTTTGGAAGCCACCTGGTCTGCGGCATGCTGTCCGGGGGCCCGAGCTGACCAAGACAGATGCGAACAATCGACAACGAGCCAGAAGGGTGGGAGGCTGGGGTCAGAGAGCGAGGAGTTTGAGAGAGCCACTCATCGATTCACTTACATGCCAGACATCGGTGAGATTTTGCAGGTGGGGATGGGTCTTCCCAAGCTGATGGCAGGGGCTGGGGTGGAAGGGGCGAGCATGAGCCAGGCAGCAGAGTTCTAGGTGGGCGAGGCTGTGTGATCTGGAGGTCCTGAGGTGGGAGCAGGGAAGAGAGAGACCGGCTTCCACGAGAGGACGTTTCAGGAGAGGGAAGGGTAGTGGTCGAGAAGCAGCCATGGAGAGCTGTGCCCCTGGCCCGGCTCCGCAGCTGGGACAGAATGCACGGCCGGAGCTGGCAGCTGGCGGCGTGTGGGGAGGCAGAGGATGAGAGCACACCCCCACCCCCGCCCCGCTGAGGACCCGGGGCTTCCGCTTGATTCACAGCCATGGGGCCAGAGACACGGGGTTGTGTCCCTGGGGGGAACTGGTGAGGTGGGGGATGGGGCAGTGGGGTCAAAGCAGAGGAGTAGCTGGCTGGGGAAGTGGGCGTATCTGAGGCTTTGGACATGGGGCGTAGAGAACACAAGGTGGGCAGGACGGCCGTCTCAGTCTCCGAGGTCCCTTGAAAGTGGGTAGCCATGGGGCCCAGCAGCCAGGGAGCTTCCTCTGGGGAGAAACAAAGGGGCACAGCCAGGGGTGCAATTATCAAAGGGCTAACCACAGCCTCTTAACTGGCTCTGACATCCAGCCACTTCCCAGTTCCACTGCCACCGGTCCACCTCATCATCAGAAGGTTGTGCGGGTAAAAGGAGGTAATACATCCCTGCTATGAACTAATTTATTGTTGCAATGACGCCATGCCTGGCTCGTCTGCTTCCACTTTTGCCCTCTCCCAACACATTGGTCAGATACAGAATGATTTTTAAAATACAAATCTTATTCGGCCATCCCCCTGTTTAAAGGAAAAAGAAAATCAGTGGCTTTTATTCCCCTCAGAACAAAGTCCAAGATTAGAGACGTGGTCTCGCCAACCCCACCTGTACCTGGTTCCTCAAACCCCCAGAAACCCCTCCAGCTGCAGCAACTGCAATCGCCAGTCGTCGCACTGAAAGCTCTTCTGCACTCCCTGCCTGCCCTCTGCACCTGGCCTTGGTTCCCTCCTGGACGCCTGTCCTCAGCAGGGCCTTCTGCCCCGTACACTGACTGGACCAGCTGCCTTGTCCGACACCACCACGTCTGCTCCTCTTCGTCTGTGGCACTTCTCCCAAGGCTCTGGGGAGCAGTTTGACAGCCGCGGATGAGTTGTAGATCTTTGGGCCCAGCACGCAGAGCAAGTGACATGGGATCTTCCTGGCAGATCAGTGAGCGGGTGAACGGGTAAGCGAGGGAGGCAGAGCCCCGGTGTGTGCGGGTCAGGGCCGATCTCGCAGACTCAGTCCTGTGCCTGGAAGTGAACTGGGGGACGTTGGGATGGGGCTGTGGCCTAGCGTATCTTTCCTATCTTCTCGGATCTTGGGGGCAGACTGCTGGACCCCCTTGCCTTTCATGCCTAGCCAGGGCACCCAAGATTAGAATCCTTGAGGATTAGTGTAAAGGGCACTAGGAAGTCGTGCACTCTAAGGCTGAGGCTGAGGGGGAGCCCCAAGTCCTGAGATCTGAGTCCTGCACCAGCCCCCACAGAGCTAACCACAGCCCTGAAAAATGTGTCCACTGCTAATGTGTCCCTCAAATCTGGGCTGCTGTATGTTCAATGACACCCTTTGGAGAACAGCCACAGTTCGGCACATGCTGGCCACTGCCTGGCCCAGTAAGGGCCCCTTCCTGTGGTGCTCCTCAGGCTGGAGGTGAGATCAGGGCTGCGTGTCTTCTCTTCTGGGGTACCAGAGGTCTCAGCTGCTGACCTTCCATCAGCTACTGCTGAGAGACATTTACCCACTAACCAGATCAAGCCGCAGGATGTTTCTGGGGGCAGAAACATCTTTCTCCCCAACTGCCTGCAATCCTAAGGAAAAAATCTCCGAAGACTCATGCAAAGACAATAGGTGAATCTTTGCATGCATGCTTGTGTCCATAAAGGGTGCGTTTAAGTCTCTTCCCGGGAATGATGGTCATTCCACCTCACGGAGAGCAAGTGTGCACCTCTTTGAGGAAGAAACTGCCTTCAGCTTGGAAATGGCCCTTTCCCTACTTCTACCCAGCCTTTTTTATTCCTACACCATGGCGGCTTCAGCCTGAGTGACACATTGTGCCAAGAAAGACTTGTGAGTGTCCCCCAAGAGAGGACTCTGTGACTGGGTGTGCAGTAGGAAGCTAAGGAGAACTTTTGCCCATCACTGCAAAACTGAGACCTGCAAGAAACATCCATGTGAAAGAGGGGCACTGAGCTCTTCCATGCTGGATTTCTAGAGACTGGTCCAGCACAAGCCCCCACCCCCATGCTATGTAAGAGAACATGAAAAGTGTGAGTTTCCGAAAGGACCCTCCTCGGGCTGGGGTGCCTGTAGGAAGGCATGTGAAAGCTTCCATGTGGTGGGAGGTTAGCTGGAGCCAGGGGGCAGTGGCTGGCAAACTCGTTTCCCACCATTGGATGTCACAAAGATGTGTGGTGTTCTCGTGGGCCAAGCAGATGCCGGGGAAGGCAGGCTGCCTTGAGGTCACGTGATGGGAGCCCACACAAGAAGGCCGTCTGTGGGGGCAAGGGGATGCTGCGTTAAGAGAGGAGAGGTGGGCTGCAGAGGGGCCCCAAGAGGAGCTCGGAGCACGTTGCCCATATTAAGGCACAACGCAGAGGGTCTGAGAGGATCTTTGCAAATCCTGTGGAGATGCCCCATGAAGAGCCAGCTCTTAGAGACCTGGCAAAACGCACTGATTGGTGACAAGCAGTGTGTGCTTGGAAAGAACTATGGCCAGCAGCGGCTGAGTACAAAGACTCCTGGTCTTTTCCCTTACCCTGCGTGGGCCCTGCATGACGCAGAAGCAGTGGAGCCTGCGGGTGGGGGGAGAGGAACTGAACAAATGCCCCTGCTGCCCAACTCAGGTTAGGCATGAGCTGAGAGTGGGGCCGGGGCTGGGGAGGTCTTTGAACAGAATGCAAGGCGGAAGCCTCGATTGCCACTGAGGGAGGCTTCTCTCTGTGGGATGGAATGACCTATGGGGCCACTCCTTAGCCGAGGGTCTCACGCACCACTGAGGAGCCATGACCTCCTCTTCACCCATAGCCCTTTCATCCGCCTGCCTGGGCAGAGTCCACAACTTCACATTTTTGTGCCTCCCATCCTGTCCCACAACTTGGAAAGGCCTTACCTAGTGTTCTTGTCTGGGTCTGACTGTGTTTTGGGGGCAGAGCGACCCAGATTGAGGGGATCCGGAGAGCCATACCCCCATAAGACTATCAGAGCACAAGTTAAGCCCAAGACACACTGGAGACCCTGGCACAGATGGGGTTTGGGGGTGGGTCTCTGGAGGTGAGGAGGGTGAAGCAGGGAGGAGATACTGTCCCAGACACTTCTGGGGTTGGGCTCTGTGGTGGGCGGCACGTGCTGGGGCCAGGTTGTGGTGTGCTGCCTCCATAAGCAAGGCTGGTCTTGTCCCTGTGTCCTCATGGGTTCTGGCCACGTCCAGGGGGATGTTTGGGCAGCTCCCTGCTGCTGGTGGTCTAGATCTTAGAGGCCTCCATCAGAAATACGTGCTGCTCACAAAGGCCACCCCCGGGCTGGAGATTCTTCCTGTGGAGTCCGTTTCCTTTGCTAGGGGCACTGACTTGGGAGCCCTGGAGGGGGAGAAGGCTGTCACTGGCTGTCCAGGAATTGGTCCCATGGCAGTATCTCCCACCATCCCCTGCCCCAAAGTAGGGGGAACCTGACCCATAGCCAGCCAGACATCTATGGGTCTGGAGGGTCCCATGTTGGCCTCTTAGCAACCATGGACTAATGGTGAGGTGGAGGCCTGGGCATACGGAGAGGGGCCTCTGATGTGAGGCCCAGGTCCTGGCTTCAGAGCAAGCAAGCAGCTTACCGTGGGTGGGGTCCCTGCTCCAGGTCCTCAATGATGTCCTTCAGGGCCTGGCCACGCGTCTCTGGCAGCAGGATGCAGAGCAAGCCTGCCACGATGGGGATGCAGCCATAGATGAGCATGGGGAGGGCTACGTAGAACTCCTCCAGCAGGATCACGAGTGGCGTGAGGATGCCCCCGACGCGTGAGAAGATGCCCACCAGCCCCATGCCTGTCTGCCTGGGAAGGCCAGTGCAGATTGAGCAGACATGGTCCCACCTCTGGGCCACAGCTCCGCCCCAGTGTATTCCCTTGGGAGAGCCCAGACCCAGTTCTGCTGGGTTCCCAGCCTCCTCCAGCCCATCCTGCGATCCTGCGCCCTGCTCCTGGCTGCTTCTGCCACCTCCAGGTCTCTCCCTCTGCCTGCTTCTCTCCTGCTCATGCGCTCACAAGTCCCAGGTCAAAGGCTGCACCTCCTGACCACCTTGTTCCGTGGGGCCATGCATTCTTAGACATCTTGGCAAGGACAGGCCAGGCCACGGCCTACTTCCATTATTTGTCTTTCACCATCCTGGGGACAACTTGAGGCTTGGGCTAGATTTCTCGTTGCCCTGGGCCCGTCCAGCACTGCTGCCCTGGGGCCAGCCCCGTTAGCTATTTGTGAAATGGTGGTCAGCAAGAGGAGGGATGAACAAAACCAGGGTATCGAGAGCAGTGAAGCAGAAGTCACAATGGCAGCTCTTACCGGACGACGGTGGGGAAGAGCTCGGCAGAGTACACGTAGGCGATGGTAAAGGTGGCAGCTGTGGCGATCCTCCCCACCACGGCCAGCATGGTGACCACCACAGGCAGATCTTGGGGACAATGCCAGTCAGCCACGGGAGGGTAGATGCCCCAGAACGTAGGTCCTGCCCCCGGGCTCCCACCCGAACTCCTCACCCCGGAAAGCCGTTACTCCTGAAAGCGGAACTGTTGGTCTATCCCTGGCAGCTGGGGGTGGGGCAAGGGGAGGGGGCAACCAGCCCTGGTACCTGCTGGGATGAAGACGATGGTGATACACATGAGCCCACCCAGAACCTGGGTCCCCAGCTGGCTCCATTTGCGGCCCAATCTCTGCATCATGAAGATGCTAGAATAGCGGGCAGGCACCTCAACTGCTCCAAAAATTAGCTGGGTCAGGTAGACGTCCAGGCCGAAGTCTCCCACTTTCAGGCCCAGGCCAAAGTACACCACACTGGTCGAAAACCTACAAAGTAACCAAGGGCTCCGGTCACTGCTGGGTGCTGAGACACCATTGCACCCACAGGGAGAGGCTGCCTTAGTCAGCAGTCACAACAGAGACATTGGCACAGCCAGGGGAGCCTTTCCCAGCCAGAGGGAGCCGCCACGCCACTACTCCACCGACACACACCAGGGAGTGGCAGGCCTTCGGCTCTGTCCACAGGGAGGGGCACGGGCCCTGGGCACTCACCAGACACAGAAGAGAATCAGGGTCACCTTCCGGAGCTGGGGGTGTCTGAGCAGATCCAGGGCATTCCCCACGGGGCCTGTTTTCTCTGAGACCAGCTGGGAGGAAAGTGCAGAGTGAGGCCCAGGGTGGGTCTTACCTCGGGACAGGGCTGGCCGGGGCCTGCTGGAAGTACCTGGCTCAGGAGCTCTGGGGAGAGTTTCCGCCTGTTGACCAAGGCCGCCTTCTGGATCACTTGTTTAGCCTCCTCTATCCTCCCCCGGGTCAGGAGCCACCGTGCAGACTCTGGCAGAGCCCTGTGGGCAGGGAATGGCCGTGACCTTGGGGTCCTGCAGAGCTTCCCCAGCAGTTCCAGTGCAGACTGAACCCCACCCCCAGCCCTCACAGGCTCCCTCTCCCAGCCCAGCCTGTGAGCATCCCACGAGCGTGCGTGCTGCACTCCAGCCCCACCCCACACAGCACGGCCGGCCTAACCGGCTTGCTCATGCCGGCGTCTGCGCACCAGAAGTAGAAGAAGAGCAGCAGGACAGGCGCAGTGCCGGCGATCTGGAAGAGCCTCCAGTTGCGGACACCATAGGCGAGTCCTGCCAGCACCATCTGCCCGAGGGCGAAGACGCAATGGGACAGCACCACGGCCTGGGTCCTCCACGAGGGCCCCACCCACTCTGTAACTGTGGGAACAGAGGGTGAGACTGGGCCAGCCCCTGCCCACTCAGTCCCTGTTACTCCCAAACGCCACCACGTCAGGCCCAGCAAAGGAAGCTCTGGTGTGACTGCTTCGGGTGCGGAGTGCCTGGCAAGGCTGGAGGCCCCAGAGCCCAGATACTCACGCAGGGTGACGTTACTGAAGGTATATCCAGAGACGGCAGTGGCCACAGCAAAGCGAAGGGCCATGTAGAGCTCAAAGCTGGGCACGAAGGCTGTGGACATGCCGATGATGGCGAAGAGCAGCAGCTGCACCAGGATGGTGGCCTTGCGGCCAATCCTGAGGGAGCAGGGCGCCCGTCAGGGGAAGGGCCCCCTGGGAACCCACCTGAGGGGCCGGGAGCAAGGGAGCCCAGCCCGGCCCTGGGGGGGCCGTCTGATGGAGGGGCATGGCCTTGTCCTAAAGGCCAGTGGGAGGGCACAAGGGGGAAACACAGGCCGGTGCCAGGAGCCTAGGAGCACGCTGGGGCCTGGCTGAGCTGGCCAAGTTCTCACCTGTCACAGAGGGGTCCGAAGATGAGGGCCCCGACGAGGAGCCCAGACATGTACACTGACTGTGAGGTCTCCTTCAGGTACTGCCGATCGCACACCAGGTTGAACTGAGGCAGACACAGGCAGGTGTGAGTCTAGGGCAGCATCGAGGGCAAGTCCTTCCCGACTTGGGCCCCCACAAACCTCTTAGGGCAGATGCCTATGGTTCCCAAAATGTGCACCATGGCTCCGCCGGGTGCCCTAGTGAACTCACTGGGCACGGCAGGATACTTAAAAGTTGGCAGGGAAATACAACAGTACTTGACATTGGTCTGACATCACACGACCACTCAGGAGAGTTCACAGCTGCATCCTGAGATCATACTACTTTCCTTTCAATGACATCATATCTATGGGAAGTCCTGTTTGTGGCAGTTGCTGTGAAAGAAAAGCAAACCACATATGAAAGTCAAGTGGAACAGAAAGAGGTGGCAGCGCTGATGCACTGAGGAGCTGTACAGTGCCAGGTAGGTGCATATTATACATCCCATCAGCAAGTAACTGTATTTATTTAAGAATGAAAGTAAAATATTTTTTCTTTCAATTCACGTGTTTTTTTAAAAATAACTAGTAAATTATTAGGACATAAACACTTGTTGTTTGGAGTTCATTGCTTACTATGTAGAACTGTTAGGTATTTCCTTCGGCCCAGGGATGCCACGTTTGGGAACCTCTGACAGATCTTTTATTGCTGCTTCCTGAGAACGGGGCCTCTTCCCCACAGCCAGGCACCCTGTGACCCATTTGGGCCTCTCCAAGTTTTCCCATGTGGCTGCAAAATCTCCCTGAAAAGCCCACCATGCACAGGCAATTGGAATGCTAAGGGGCCTTCACACATGCCTTGAGGAAGGCGGTTAGGACAGGGGAGCACACACACACACACACACACACACACACACACACACACACAGGGAGGGAGAGAAAGAGAGAGCAAGAGAGAGCAGCTAGCAAGCAGGAGGAGGGAGGGAGGGAGAGAGAGAGAGAGGGCGCACCAGAGATGCTAACCCACCTAGAGACTTACAGAGAGAACCCGCTAGACAGACTGGGAAACCAGGAGGAGAAAATGTCCAGGTCCATCTAGCTCTGTGCACATGTCTATGGTATGTGTCCACACAGTACCCTTGGCCGCCCCCCACCCCCACCAAGTTCTGGTTCCTGGGGTTGCGGGGGGGTTCTGTGCCCCTTGCACACAGCTCAGTTCCATACACAAACGTGTGTGCGGGAACATGCCACGTGAGCTCTCCTCCAGCTCTGCAGCAATGGCTGATGCCTTTGAGCACTTACCCCGTGCGGGGACTATGTTAAATGCTTTACAGACATCGTCTCATGGAATTCGAACAACGATCCTTGACTTATGTTTCCCAGAAGGAGGAAAGGTTAAGCAGCTAATCCCAGGTTCCATAGCTGGATGGCGGCTGGTGAAGTTGAGACATCTCTATTGCCCTAGACCAGGAATGAGTCTGAGTGAAGGCTAAGAGAATGTTTGCTGAATGAATGAATGAACTAATACCTACAGCTAGCTAACTAGCCAATCACCATCAGTTTATTATAATAACCTTTAGCAAGAAATTAACCAATCCAGGAGTTACCGTTGTGCTCATGCTTCTGTTCTCCAGGACAACTGTTAATTTTCAAGACCTTCCAATGTGTGTCAATTGATTAACTGACGCCCCTGGGAACAAGGTGGGGAAGGACAGGGGGCTTGAAATTGTTCCACCCAGTCGTGTCCTGTTTCGTTTCTGTCTAGCACCCACAGATTTCCTTTGTAGTAAGATGCCATTTTAAATAACTAATAAGAAGTAAAGACTTGCTACTGTCGGGCTCTGGAGTCAGAATTGAGTGGCTTTTTGTGATCCTGAGCCTGTTGGCTGATCTGTGTCTTGGTTTCCCATGTACAAAATGGGAATAAAACATGGTACATAGTATCTTCTGATGCGATTAAAGATCAGATGGATTAAACATGTAACATGCTCAAGTCCATGTTTGTTCACGGGAAGCTCTCAGTTCATGTCAGCAAGGATGAGGGTGTGCTGGCCCCTGTGCCCACGAAGGTCTCAGCTGGTGACATATACACCTCAGACACAAGGGCTCTGCAGGAATGAGTGCCAAGCCATGGGAGTCTTCCAAGCCAGCAGCCGTGGGTAACAGCCACCATTCACGACCTCCCCGAAGGCCACGTAGCCTTACTCATTTAATCCTCATTCTAACCTCATGGCGGCTTATTTCCACTGTGCAGCAGCAGAGACTGAGGCTTGGAGAGGTGCCAAGTTGTGCTCAAGCTCACCTGGTGGTGTCGCGTTGCAGGTGGTACAGAGATGAGAGGGCTCCAGCTTGGGATGCCAGTCAGCACCCTCCCCAGCCCTAATGCCCACAAGTGGCTCTGTCTGGGGCCTGCTACGCAGTCTGCACAATTCCATCTTCATTTTGTGGAGCACAATGTATTGTCCCTCCCCTACTCCAGAACCCTCAGTGGCTCCCTTTGGTCTCTAGGAGGAAGCTCACATTCCTCAGCACTACATCCAAGACACTTTAAGAGGCGACTCTTGCCTACGTCTCAGCTGCTTCTGTTCTGTCAGCATTGCTCACACAAGCCAGGCGTTTTCATGCTCCACGCCCCAGAAATGGCCACTCTCTCTGCTTCTCCTTTCACCCATTCCTACCTCTTCTTTGGTCCCCAGACTGACCACACTATTGTTGCTATTCGCTGACAGTCTGTTCCCCTGTCCTCCAAGATTCAGAGTCTATGTGGACAGGGCTGGGAGTCATTTTGTGTTTTACCGAGGACGGGCACCCAGAAAATGCTGAGCAAGTAGGGTGAGGAGGAGAAACGTACTCTGACCTTCAAGAGCACACAGTGTATAAGGAAATGTGCTCTTTTCTTTTCAAATGCATAGTGTTTGTATTTCAGTTTAAATGTGAAGCTGCTGTTTACAACAAGGAAACTGGGGATGTCAGCTCAGCCAGGGTCCTCTGAGTCGGTGTGCAGAGCCCCTCCTCATGGACAGGGAGTAGAGGTAGAAGATCTCACACCAAGACAGCTCCACTCTGGGACTGAGCTTGGGATTATCTTGTGATGCGGGGCCCAAAGTACCAAAGGTGGACATTCCCTTGGGAGTCACAGTCCTTGGGAGGGTGAGGGTGGGAGGGAGCATGTCAGGGTAATACAAGAGGGCCAAGGCCCAACCCCAATATCAGCACAGTCTAGGTTGATGACTGAGGCTAAAGAGAGAGGTTCCTGAGCGCTGCCAACACCCCACGGAAAGGCCGAGGCTAACATTGCATTTGAAATATTTAAAGTGGGTACAAAACTATTTCAGCAATGCAGATAATTAAGTGTGTTGTTGTGAGCAATTGTGCATTGGGAAAGCATATCTCCTGATATCCTAAACTACAAACAAATTTCCATCTGAATATGTACTGTTTCTGACAATTACGCAGTCACAATTATGATTGGTGCAGAGCATATACACTTGGACTTTGTACACTGTAGGGCAAGAGGACCATGGCAGATTGCAACTGCTGAGTATTCACAGACGTATTTCTAGTCAGTTTTTACTGTTATCTCTGTCCTCATTTGAAAACGTAAAAGAAAAGTGGGTGCCTGAGATGACTCACTCCTGCAAAGACTCCTTTCTTGCTTGTCAGGACCCAAATGGATGTCAGAGATGTCCCCCGTACTACTGAGAAACTTGCCAAGGACAAACAGAACAGACGGAAGCCTGTCACTGCAGAGGCTGCGGGAAAGCTGGCCTCTGGCTGAAGGCTGCTGCGTGTGCGCAGTGCTCCGCACTCACACCAAAAGGCACGGAGGGCCTGCTTGACAGAGCAGCACTGGCTCCCTGAGCCTGTAGAGCCGAAGAAGAGCCACAGGAGTGTGCTGCTGGAACGTCTCTCCATAGCCCTTTCTGCACAGCTGGCGCCAGCATCATACTGAAAGCAATCTTTAAATCAAACTAAAGATTAAAAGTTGAAGTTCATTTTCTGGGATCGTGACAAATGCCCTGCACCCACTAGTGTGTCCTCATGCAAGTTGAGGCATATAGGTGCGCCTCCCCGTCCGTCCCCCAATACTAGCTAACTTTGAGTCACTGTCTATTGTAGGAAAAGTGATCAGTACTAGTTCATCTTGGTATTTCCACAAAATATTTGTTTGTTTAAAAGCAAGTCATGCTTATGATGACGCTCTAGCACACCGACTCCAGTTGTGGAAGCTGCTCCTCGGTCCCACCCTAGGGATCGAAGTGGGAAATCTTAGTGTTATTGTTGTTTTCTTTTTGCGTCGTGGTAGGGGGCAGCGTGTGTGTGGTTTTTAGTCTTGTTTTTTTTTGATTCGTTAACTAGTGTATGGCCCGTAAGGGGAGGAGGACAGACTCATTCTACATTCTGCTTCCCGGATTTGGTTTAGGAAACACATTCCCTGGCTGGTGCTCTTAGGCTGGGGTGTAGTGGATGCCTCGTTTCTTTTTGAAAGCTGACTTTTCTCTCTACCCTCGAGTAGATCCAGTATTTGATGGAACTCACTAAAGTGGAGGGGACCCGTCTTGCCCCGCCTTGTTTCTAGGATGCACTATAATGTGGCGGTGACTTTCAAAGACACTTGTTGGCTATTTGCTGATTTTTTGAAGTTAGTTTCTAACTTCTTTCACTGATACATGAAGAAAAGTATTGCACCTTTTGAAATACACCAAATGGATTGAGTTCAAAATACATATAAAAAAGTTTTCCCTGTCAATCATTGTCTTCTATGCCTAGTATAAATGTGCAGCTTAATAGTGTATGACACGGTGATCCCAGAACGTAGCTGAAGATCTCGTATAGAGAGGAAATGTGAGAGTGGTGCTACAAGACAGACACCTCTGGAATGATTCACATCCTCTTTCCAGTTAGGGAGGTCTGCTTCATTAGGAAGCGGGGGGTGGACTCGGGGCGGGGAGAACACTTAGCAACATGGGGACCAGTCAGGGGACTCCTCTTATTTCGTATGTTTGGCATACGAGGAACCCTGGAACAGCCAGTTAAGGCTCTCTAGTTTAATAAAAATCATGGAAAGAGTCCTATGAAGACTCTTCATAAGTGTTAATAGAGATTCTACCAGCTTATTTTGGTTGCAGTTTCCAATTTTGAAAAATGTTTAGGTAATCTTTTCCACCTTCCTCAAATCCTAATTCTTACAGATTCATTAGTGTTAACCAATGCTTTCTCATGTGTCAATTCTATTTTTTTTTTTTTGTTTTGAGACAGAGTTTCACTGTGTTGCCCCGGCTAGAGTGCCGTGGCGTCAGCCTAGCTCACAGCAACCTCAAACTCCTGGGCTCAAGCGATCCTCCTGCCTCAGCCTCCCGAGTAGCTGGGACTACAGGCATGCGCCACCATGCCCGGCTAATTTTTTCTATAGATTTTTAGTTGTCCAATTAATTTCTTTCTATTTTTTTAATAGAGACGGGGTTTTCTTGCTCAGGCTGGTCTCGAACTCCTGAGCTAAAACAATCGGCCCGCCTCGGCCTCCCAGAGAGCTAGGATTACAGGCGTGAGCCACCGCGCCCAGCCATGTGTCAATTCTATTATATGCATTTTTTCAGATGTATTAAACATACAAAAACCAAAAATGTCCCAAATCCTTGAAAACATCCCGTCCAATTCCTATGCCTTGCCTACCCCTATTGCGGGCACACGAAGTTGTCTCCTGCTCCCCAGACCTACGACATGCTCCCTGCTGCCAGCCTTTCTTGTGCACTTCTCTGCCTGCAAAGGCCTTCCTCTCTTCTCTAGCAACATTTTTCTGGTATCTTGGTACCCAGCTCACATACCACCTCCTTTAGGAAGTTGCCTGCCCATTCTCTGCCCCAGAGGAAGCAAGTTCTGGGCCTCGGAGCCCACCCAGCCCTTTATTCTTTGCGAGGGGCCCAGCTCTTGACCTGACCAGCAGGCATTCTTGTATTATAGAAAGGGAATTAAGTACCTCCTTTCTCTGACTGTTCCCTACATAGTTGAGATTTAGGGGGCTTTGGCTGAATACAATTGTCTGAACAGTTCACATGGGGTGTAAACAAGGGATAGAGTAGGGTCTGAGAAATCTGGAAGGTTTTCTGGCCTTTGTGGCTGATGATATTTGGTCAGGTTGGCAGAGAGTTGATGAGCACATACCACAACGTTTTAGCGCCAGTGAAGGCTGGAGCCCCCCATGGAGGCGATGACAGAGAGGCCACTGAGGCTCAGCGAAGGCTGGGCGGGCTGGGCTGGGCTGGGCTAGGTCCAGAGACAGGAGAGTTCACAGGTTACTTAGCTCTCCCTGCGGGGAAGGGAGGAAGAGAGTCAGGAGGACAGGCAGGACATAGCCTCAGGTGGCCCGGGTCCTGGGGGCAGGTTTATAGTCAGACATTAAAAGTGAAAGTCAGACTTTGGTTAAAACAATGTCCTGAAAGCCTTTAAAAAAAATGCTTTTTAAACCATAAGGGTAAAAAAAAGTAAATGTTTAATCTCTGGGTGAGAATTGCACAGATACTCCTCAACAACCCATGCCCCTCAGGTTTCTGGACTGTCTGTGCTGCCTCCCACTCCTGCAGGGGCCTGGACAGCAGGCGCCTGGCATGACAGCCCCAGCTCCACGGTCATCTCCCCACTCTGTGCCTCAGCCCCGCCGTCTGGGAAGCAACAGAGTGGGACTAGGTGTCTTCAGAGGGCCCCTCTTGCTCTGAGGTGGCTGGAGTGTGAATCTTTCTGTTTGTCTGCCCGGGTCTCTCCTAAAGGAATGAAGTTAGCAGAGCAAATGCCTAGTTTTCCACAGGATAAGTCTCAGAGTCATGGGTGCTCTCCAGCACCCCAGAGGCAGGCAGGCAGGCAGGGGCCTAGAGAGAGAAGCTGAAATGTAGGGAGCCCAAGTCAAGCAGGCAGGAAGGCAGGTGAGTGGACAGGGAGAGGGACAGCGTGAGAGTTAGGAAAGCACGGAAGACAGGTAGCCAGGCAGACGTGCGGAGCAGACTGAGAGACACAGGAAATGGACTGGATAGAGAGAGAGGTGTAAAGACAGGAAAACAGGAGAGGACAGGAAGAAAAGCAGGAGACTGGATACAAGCAAAGAGAGGGACAGACAAAAGGACAGGCAAAAATGGACAGACATATAGGTAGGCAGACCAGACAGAGAAAACGACAGAGGTAGACGGGAGGCAGGAAGGCCGACAGGCAGAGGACAAAAACAGGATAACTGGCAAAAAGAAAAACACGCATACTGATGGCCAACCATGTGAGCATCGGGGCACAGACAGAGACACAGCTAGTGACTGAGGGCAAAGGGTCAGTCAGACAGGCAAAAGGACAGTCCTACCTCTTTTGCTAGGGATTGGGGCCTGTTCTCAGGATAGTCCCAGCCCATATCGCAAGGCTGCGTCTCGTTGAAGCGGTGGCTGAGGATGTCCTCCAGGCTGGCACCATCGGGGGGTGGCCGGAACATGAGGCAGGGCTCGGGGCTGCCTGCAGCACCCAGAGGCACCCCCAGCGCCAACTGGTCAGCAGTACTCAGGTTAAGAGTGTGGTTCTTGACCCAGGCCACTGAGCAGTGGTGGGGCTCATCCAGGACCATGAAGACTTGAGCAAAGAAGTAGAAGGCAGAGAGGAGGTTGGGGATACTCAGCATGATCATCAGTTGTATCTGGAAGCGACCAAAGTCACCTATTTCGGCCAGGACCTGGGCAAATTGAGACATGTCTGCTGGTCACCACGTGCTCAGCCTGGAGATACCAGGTAGCTCTGCAGCTTGGCTTTGGTGGCACTTGCTCCTCTGGGTTGTGGTAGTAGCTGCATTAATGTTTAATCCAGCCTTGCCCAGCTCCACCTGTCACACTTCGACTCACGAGGTATGGCCTGGGAAGGACAGAATATGATAAAAAAAACAAAATAGTCCACTCCGCTTGTAGCATCTGAGGATGTTTTATTGACTGTAAGAGATACAGGTGTCAAAAGAGGAACCAGGAGGACCTTCTCAGGCCCAGCGCTCAGGAGTGAGGTTTAGCCAGACGTTATACAGCTTATAGTAGCTTCCAACCCCCTACTTCCAATCACAACATCCTAAACAATTCCCACCCTGCTCAAATGCCCCCATTACTGTAGAACCAAATTCTAAGAGAAGTACTTGCAACACTCAGGGTGACACAGAGGTCCCTTCTAGGGACCAGCCCACACTAGGCAGTGGGGGGTGAGTCAGGGGAGCAGCAGGCACCCAGCCTGCATGTTAACTTTGGTGGTCTTTCCCGGTGGGTCTCTGCTATGTGGTGGTATGCAAACCAGCCAGTCCCAGGAGGTGGCCTGCAGGCCAGGAGACCCACCAAATGCACAAGTGCACTTCCTTTCCAGCGCCAAAGACAATCCAAGAATACAGAGCAATTACAGAAGAGCAGGAGTTTCATTTTGAGCTCTACTATAATCAAGAGTAGAAAGAACGAAGAAAGAAAACAGGAACACATTACTAAGACAAAAAAAAAAAAGGATTCAAGTTGCCCCAGAGTATCCCCAGCCTCCCTAAACAATCTCAGTGATGACAGAGGAACACAGGACAAAGCCTCCCTCTGCCACAGTGTGTGCACATGGACATATACACAACACATATATATCTGCTTGTATGTGCGTGAGAAACCATGTCCACTTTCTGAATTTTGAACTATTTTAAGAGATGAGCATGGGTGGAGGGAATACAAGGCAGGAAGCAAGGTTGTGCGGGGCAGCCCAGGATGGAGTGTGCCTGTATCTGGCTACCGGGCTGGCACAGCTGCTGGCAGCCTATTCCCCAGCCAGCCTGGGTACAAGTCAAGGCAGGGCAGAGGGCAGAGGCCAGGCCAGCCACATTATATAAGGAGAATGCTTTGTTCTTAGCCCCATCCCAAGCTCTCTCACGAGGCTCACCGCTGTCCCCTTTTTTCCTTCACCTAGCTTCCTTGAGTGTTTCCATTCTCTGAATTGCCTCTGTTGAACTGCCAAGAAAACAGTCACTACCAGTTGCCACTGCTCAGTTTAATGTTCCCCTCATGGGGGAGAACTGAGGTGGAGACACGAGCCCTGTCCTCAGCCTTCATCTCCTGACTCAAGTCAGGAAAAGCATTTTTGCTTTATTTGTCTCCCAGTAGCCAAGGGAGCTACACCTGGGAGGTAGGAAGTTTGGGCTTTGCTGTTGATTTATCTGTCCATTCCCCACTCTGGGCCTCAATTTCCCCATCTGAGTAAAGGGAGAGCTTGAACTAGATCATCCCTAAGGATGCTTCCACCTCTTGGTGTGTGATTCTAGAATAGAGACAGGCTGGGTGCAGTGGCTCATGCCTGTAATCCCAGCACTTTGGGAGGCCGAGTCAGGAGGATGGCTTGAACCCAGGAGTTTGAGACCAGCCTGGGCAACATAGTGAGATCCCATGTCTACCATAAATAAAAAACTTAGCCAGGCATGGTGGCATATGCCTTTAGTCCCAGCTACTTGGGACGCTGAGGCAGGAGGATCGCCTGAGCCCAGGAGTTCGAGGATGCAGTGAGCTGATTGCACCATTGCATTCCAGCCTGGGTGACAGAGCCATACCTTGTATTAAGAAAAAAAAACCACACAAATAGAGAAATAATGATTAGAAGACTCCCACTAGAGGAGCGAGACATGATCGAAGACCTTCCCAGAGTCAATCTTCGGTTGAAACTATGATCCCAAAATCTTGGTACTCAGGCACTGAACGTCACTGATTGCGCTTTACCTCTACATTCCCTAAATCCTAATTTTTTCATTTATTTCTTTCTGTCCTTACCCTTGTCCTCCCTCCCCACTCAATCCTGAGAAGATTGCCAAAGGCTTCCCATGATGCTTAGAGTTCTCCTCTTTGAAGAAGAGGAGATCACTGCAGCTCCAGGGACCTCTCTGTGCTCTGCTGTCTCACTGACCTGGGAGGCTGTGCCCAACGCCAGCATGCGCGCTGGTCTCTGACCTCCCCGTGCAGCCTAGTTACCCCACTGAGTGCCTGTAGGACAGGGTTAGGGTTGTCTCTGGCCCTTCAGGGAGAGTCAGCACACCGTGTACCTCATCTTCCTCTCCTTGTACCTGCCTTCATTCAAGGCCACAACTAAGATCAAAGAGAGGTGTGACAGAGTTTTCTAACCACCACAGCAGTTTTAAGTAGAATGAATACACTCTCCACACTGGAAGATCACGGGCAATCATGTCCAGGGAGTTCAGGGAGGCGTTTGTGTGTGGGGTGGGAGGTATCTTTCAAAGATCCCTTGTAGGGATGTACTAGAAGGTGTCTCAGATCTCTTCCAAATTTGCAAGTTAATGATTTTTTTTTTTTTTTTTTTTTTTGAGACAGAGTCTCACTGTGTTGTCTGGGCTAGAGTGAGTGCCGTGGCGTCAGCCTAGCTCACAGCAACCTCAAACTCCTGGGCTCAAGCGATCCTTCTGCCTCAGCCTCCCGAGTAGCTGGGACTACAGGCATGCGCCACCATGCCCGGCTAATTTTTTCTATATATTTTTAGTTGTCCGATTAATTTCTTTCTATTTTTAGTAGAGACGGGGTCTCACTCTTGCTCAGGCTGGTCTCGAACTCCTGAGCTCAAACGATCCACCCGCTTCGGCCTCCCAGAGAGCTAGGATTACAGGCGTGAGCCACCGCGCCCGGCCAATGATTCTTATAAATAAAAACTTGTGGTATGATATGGTCTGGATGTTTGGCCCCTCCCAATCTCATGTTGAAATGTGATCCCCAGTGTTAGAGGTGGGGTGCAGTGGGAGGTGTTTGGATCATGGGGGCGGATCCTTCATGAATGGCTTTGTGCCCGCCCCGCAGTAGTAAGTGAGTTCTCTCTGCTCACGTGAGAGCCGGTCGTTCAAGAGAGTCTGGCATCGCCTCCTCCTCTCTCTCGTTTCTCGCCACATGACATGCCTGCCCTGCTTCGCCTTGTGCCTTGACTGGAAGCTCCCTGAAGCCTCCACCACAAGCCAAATGCTGGCTCCATGCTTCTTGTACAGCCTGCAGAACCACAAGCCAAATAAACCTCTTTTCTTCATAAATTACCCAGCCTTAGGTATTTCCTTTACATCAACACATTATGGACTAACACAGGGTAGGACTTCTGGTTTCTCGTCTGGCATGTACAGAGTTTATAAGTCACCACTCCATTTTAACAAGTAAAAAGCTGAAGGAACTGAAAAATCAACACCTCTTCTTCAATCTGTCAGGAAGTCAAGTCCCTTGGGAAATTGCTACCCCCAAAGTTAGAGAGACAGATGGGTGAATACGGAGAATTACAATTTACCAGATGAGAAATCCACAAGAAGAAATCTCCGCAGGAACAAGTGCTGGGATAAGAGCACGTGAATTGTAACTCACAGATTGCTGGAGGCTCAATGTGAACAACTCTGAGAGTTAAAAATTCCAGAGAAAGGACCCCATACTTCTGTGAGTTTTACCTCCAAGATCTCTACTGGGTCCACAAAGTGAAAAATCGAAGAAAAATCCCCTTGTGCTAGAGGCTCAATGTGAACAACTCTGAGAGTTAAAAACTCCAGAGAAAGGACCCCACACTTCTGTGAGTTTTACCTCTAAGATCTCTACTAGGTCCACAGAGTGAAAAATCCAAGAAAAACCCCCTTGTGCTCTGGCATGGGGAGGGGAATAGTAACCATTTGAAATAAGCCAGAGCATTCTGTTTTGTTTTGTTTTTTTTTTTTTTTTTGAGACAAAGTCTCACTCTGTTGCCTGGGCTAGAGTACAGTGCTGTCATCATAGCTCACAGCAACCTCAGACTCCTGGGCTCAAGCGATCCTCCTACCTCAGCCTCCAGAGTAGCTAAGACTACAGGTACAAGCCACCATACCCAGCTAATTTTTTTAAAAAAAATTTTTGTGGAGATGGGGTCTTGCTGTTGCCTGGGCTGGTCTTGAACTCCTGGCCTCAGGTGATCCTCCCACCTCGGCCTCATTCTGTTCTTCTTAATAAGGCCTGCCCTCTAACTGGCCTTAACCTAATTGGGAGAGAAATAGCCAACTCAAGCCCATTCTAGCCATCTTGTCCCACCTAAGAGGGGGTGGGAGACTGAGAAGCACCTGTGAAGTTCACAGCCCAGAGACACTGGCTCACTCAAAGACTGAGACCTAATCATTGGACCATAGAATGCTTTCCCTCTCCCTACATCTTACCACCACATCATTAAAAGCCTATTTACTGGAATTCCTTTTACTGAGTACATCATGTCCAGCTTTCAACAAAAGATTACAAGGCATACTAAAAGGCAAAAACAGTTTGAAGAGCTAGAGCAGACATCAGAACCACACTCAAATATGGCAGGGATGTTGCAATTATCAGACTGGGAATTTAAAACAACTATGATTAAAATGCTGTTAGGAAAAACTCAAACTGTTTTCCTCTGCTCTCACACCAACACAAAAATAGTCAACACCAAAGACTTCTGTGACCTCAAAATATGTGGGGATTTTTCCCCACCAGCAAGCAAGCAGTCAGTTCTATAGGAGACACCAGCTGGGCTAGGTGTTCTCCAATTCTAACACTATCCACCTGGAAACAGCATCAGATCCCACAGGTTGGGGGCTTGGTCCCCGAGACTTCCCCCTACCCCCAATGCAAATACCAGTCACAAATCTAGGCCTCCAGAACTTCTAACTGCCTTCAAGTTGGGGTTCCCATGATCCCTCTTGGGGTTTGATTAATTTGCTACAGTGGCTCATAGTACTAACGGCAATACTTACTTAAATTTACTGATTTATTACAGAGGTTATT